CGGAATTTCCGAAAGCCCTAGCTCCCTGGGAACCCGCAGGGTCATCAGCGACACACCCAATTCCCAGATGCTCCCCACTGCCTGCCATGCGCGTGTAGGTAACCCCAGATGACCCATGTCTCTCTCATCGAGTACCCCAGACCGAACAGGGGTAGCCGCTCGTGGCTGTAATGGCTACGGGAAATACATAGAAGCCATTCCTGAAGTCCAGAAATTCCACTATTGGACATTCGCTCCTTAGGAAAGGCTAAGGAGTTTTCAAAGGCTTCAGTTATTGAAAGGTAGTGGGGGAGGACTTATAACCCACGGGTGTCTGGACTAAGAGCAAAAATAGGCATGTTGATCTTGGGGCAGGAGCAGTCTGAAGCCCCAGCTCAAAAATGAGGGGCACCAGGGAGGGCTGACAGCATTTATAAGGAGTTAGGGGAGTTTCTGGAGAAGGGGAGACCGAGAATGCGATCCCTAAAAGGGAAGGGAGAAGAATTCTGATGGACCTCCAGCCCTTGTCCTAACAGAGAAACCAGGGCTGCCTCGACGCCCAGAGTGGGAGGGACAGAAGGCCCCACATTCAGGGTCTTTCCTCACAGGCCAGGGGTGCTGGGGGTGGAACCCTGGATCTGTCCAGGTCCCCCGTACACACCAAGCTTGTCACACCTTTGCAGGGGCTGCTCTTCTCTGCTTGGGAAGCCTTCCCTCACACCTGCAAGCTTTTGGCCATCCTTCAAAGCCCACCTGAAGCGTCACCCTGCCCCCACGCAAGCCATTCCCTGCCTCCAGCTCCACGCACAGCCAGCACAGACCCTGTGACGGTACCCGGCAGGTACAGCATAATGTACACACGTGCCTCCCTTACCGGGCAGGGGCTGACTCTCGCTCACCTCTGCTCCCCTCACCTCATACTGAACCCCGAGCCAGAAACCCCAATCAAGAGGCATCCTGGTGCCTTCCCACCAGGAGGCACCATGCGAGCACCCTGGCCTCTCTGGCCTCACAGTTCTCTCCCTCCGCTGAGTGACAACAGAAGCACCTGAAGTTTACTGAGCTTTTACTCCGAGCCACATGCTACACCTGTGCGCTCCATGCACCACCTCCTTTCATCCTGAGACCTTTATAATAGTTATCATTAATCCTGTTACATGAGAATCAGGCACAGAGAGGTTACGTGAGTTGCCCAGGGGCACAGCTAGTGAG